ATAGGTCCATCTTTGTAGGAAGCAGGCATAATGAATTAATTGGTCTGGGCCAGAATGAATCTGAGTGAAGATACCACGTTCAAATTATCTCATGCCTCTGAGAACTAAGGTTTTCTCTTCTTTTTTTGTCTTTTTGAGGCGGGGTTTCTCTATGCAGTTCAGGCTGTCTTGAACTCACTTTGTAGCCCAGGTGGGCCTCGAACTCTCAATGATCCTCTTGCTTCAGCCTCCCAAGTGCTAGGGTTACAGGCATGCACCACCACACTGGGCAGAACTAAGGTTTTCTAAAGAAAAGCTTATATGTCTGCTTTCCTTGCGCTTTCTCCCAAGAGCCTCCTTAGTACTTCATGCAAGGTAAGCCAGTTTCTTAGCCACCCCACTTGTTACACTTTTCCAAATGTACCTGGACCTCAAGCACGGGCACAGCTTAGGTCAAACTGGCCAGCCCACCATTTAAAAAGCTAGGAAATTAGTCTGTTTTCCAGTCCATCTTCCCCTTTCATATAGAACCAACATGGAGATTTGCAACCAAATCGTAAAGGCCAGTATGTCCTGTTGAGAATAACAACTGAGTTTAAAGTCAGCTCACCAGCAGCATGGCAGATCTGTGATAGCATTCAGAATAGAATATAGTTATGACCATACAAAAAGTGACGTCTATAATCTGATGTAGACCAGCCACAAAAGTATTAGCCACAGAAATACTTTAGGGACTTTGAAGCAGTCAGGCATTACATTGCTGAATATAATAGAAGACTGGGCTGATGAACCAGGGGTACCTTTTCTAAACACAGTCACTTTGGGAGAAAACATGTAAAGATGTGCTGGGGACCCATAGCATCCCAAATGATTTCACAACCTGTCAGATAATACCTGTGCGGGATGGTGTGGAAGAGGATCTCAAATCCTGTATGTCAGTGGAAATTCTTCTATGATTGGGAAGTCTGTTTGCATAGCTGGTGCACAACCTTGGGTTTGTGTCCACAGATATTAGCCAGTTCTCTAGAAATAAAAATAGCCGTGCTATTAGGCCATTTCAATACAGTTCATTAATATGTATTTCCATGATGTAAAACAAGAACTAACATTTCTCCAGTAGGTATTCTGATTAGGACTGTGTAATTAATTTTTAGTTTCTATAATGGTCCTTCTAGTTCCCAGGACTTTTTCTCATTTTACATCACAGCTTTCCAACGTTAGAACAGAGGTTGAAAATCTATCCGGTTATCTTAGCTTTATGTCATCTTCACACTTAACACCTGGTAACCCTTTTTTCCTGCCAGTTCTGCTGACTTTCATGAAGTTTAGCTGCTAGCTACCTCCAAATTGCTGCTGTGCCATCTAAGAGGATAACAACTGAGCCAGCACAAACTAACACCACGCTTTCCTTGAGGAAGGTCAAAAAGAAATGATACCACAAACCAATATTTACAGGCACAAAATTAAGCTTTAACGGGAAAAGAAAAATCCTAAGTGAAGGATCTAAATGGATTTATGCTGTTGGAATTGATCTTTCCAAACTTCAGTTCCACTAATGAGATTATTGCTTCTCTAGCAAGTTCTTTAGGTCAGATACCATCAAATCATTCAGGCTGAGTAGATCACAACTAATTTACAAAGGCAATCCATTGATATCAGGATGAGACAATTTTTTTTCAAACTGTAACCAGTGGTCTTATTCCTGGGAACTAGCAAAGAAGGCACCAACCACTAGCTTTGATTTGTAAAGCACTAATCATACACATGCCCAGAGGTAATTCTCCAAGAGCTCCTACTCTACTGGTAATTCTCCAAATGTCCCTACATGCCCAGGTAGATTTTTTGTTTGTTTGTTTGTTTTTAATGTGATACTGGGGATAGAAGATTCAACCTCCATGCAGAGTTACACCCTTAGCCCATTTTGTATTTTGAGACAGGGTCTTGCTGTGTTGCCCAGGCTGGGCTCAAACTTGGGATCGTCTTGCTTCAGCCTCCTAGAGTACTGGACTTACAGGTGTGTGCCACCACACCCAGCCCAAGTAGAACTTTGATTACCTCCATCAAAGTCAAATTGTTTAAAATTAAGCTATTTGACCTTGTGAATCAAAGGTTGCAATCATTCATTCTTTTTCCCCAAGATTGCTATCAATTACTTATTATGTGCCAAGCATAATTCTCAGAGGTAAGGATGTAAAAGAGAACAAAACTGCATTGGCTTCTCATGAAGCTCACCTTCTAAGAGTAGATGGAAGATAAACAGCTGAATCAATAATATCGTCTCAGGTAGAGTTAAATGCTATGAAGAATAACATATTAGGACAGATGAATAGAGTGGGGTTGGTGGAGTCAACATATTTTAGGGTAGTCAGGGCATTCTCTAAGGGGGTGAGTGGGACCTCCTGAATGAGGTTAAGCCAAATGAAGATGCGGGAGATAAGCAAGGCCCTGTGAGGACAAAGGTGGGAACAAGCTTGGTTCAAGGGCCAATAAGGACGTCAATGATCAGAGTAGACTGGGCTAGCTAGGGGAACGCGGAAGATGAGACTGGCACGTCAGCAAGGGCCACATAATGTAAGGCCTCACTGCCACAGAAAGGAGCAGGGATCTTATTCAAGCAAGGTGAGGAGCCACAGGTTGGGGGTCTGTACTAACCGTACCATTCCATAAGTCCTATTTTCTCTGTCTGGAAGAATGGAAGATTCTACAAACATTCAACAAAGATTCTACACACAGCAAATACTTACTAGATATCCAACTGAAAAGACTATTATAATAGGTTGAGAAGCAAAAGTGTTTTAAGACATGTTTCTATTCTCAATACAGTTATCTATTGGGATACAAATGAGACTTGATTTCATAAAGAAATAGTGAGGGATATTCAGTTTTCACACTTATGGTTTCCATCTAAGAGTCTCTATACTGCTTCTCACCTCTCCCCTAGACACATACGGAAAAGGCCTGGACAGGGAAACACTGCTTTGCAGACTTGTTTTGGAATTTAGAATTGACACTCTTGCTAATAGGATTTTCTAATGCTCAATAAAATGGAATTTTAATAATTACTTTTATAATAAATCCAAATAATAATTATAATAAAATGGATTTTCTTTTTTATTATTTTGTTTTGTTCTTTAAGGAATAGTATTAATCCTCTGATTCAGACCCTTCAAATCCAGCTGGCTAACAGTATAACTTGGGATTTCACTTTCAGACCAAAACTAGTACAGAGGATGACTTCAGCAGGTTCCCCTGTTCTTTGGAAAGTAAAAGTCTTTTTTAGGGGCTGGGGATTTAGCTCAGTGGCAAAAGCGCCTGCCTGGCAAGCGCAAGGTCGTGAGTTCGGTTCCCGGTACCGGAGAAAAAACAAAAAAAAAAAAAAAGTCTTTTTTAATGGCATGAATCATCCGTTGAGTATATTCTAAAGGAGAATTTCTGTATGCTATACTGGAAAAACAAGAAACAATAGAAATCTAGAACTTCATAGTCTATAAAATGCTACCAGACCATAATTAGCAAAATCCCTTAGAGGAGATGACATATAGTTTACTACAAATGGGATTTAGAGGTAATGTTTTGAATGTGGTAAGTTTTAAATAACTCACCCTACAGTGAAAGTGAAGCTAAGTGTCAAAGTACATTCTCAATCAGAGGCACCGAGAAAAGTTTATGTTTCACCTTATTTTTTTTTAGTTTTTTCGTTGAGGTCATTTTAGCATCATTTTAAAATAAATTAGTAAAAACAGAAAGCAGACATTAAAATATATAAAGCAAGCATTTTAAGCAAAAATACATATTTTCCAATTCCTTACAACTGGAGGTACGTCTGTCTTTTTTCTAAGAGGCTTCTGAGAAAATAATGAGTGTAGGTTACGAATAAGTTGGAGCTCTTCTCTCCCACTCCTTCCTCTCCTGGAATGCTTTAATTAGAAACACATTAGTGTAGATTAAAGTCTTAGCCATACTCAATTCTTACCTTGACCTGAAGGAAACCACACCTGAGAGAACACGCTGCATTATAAAATATTGTCAGGTGGTATCCAGCCGCACCCGTGAGCTTAAAGAGAGCACCCAGGAAGTGGACTGTAAAGCAAAAAGTGACCCAGAGCATACTGCTGACTTGACTCTCAGGAGTACTTACTCTGGGTCGGAGTCCTGGAAGTCTCAGGCATGCCTTTCCCAGGTAGATGAGTGATGCTTCTGTTCAGGACAGGCGAAGCTAATTTTCCAGCGTGGAATAAGGCCCCCAGCTTACCCTTCAGACATACTTGCTTGGGTTGTGAATGTTTGGGTGGGACACAGTTATCAGTAAATTGGGACAAAATTCAAGCAAGCCAAAAAGCAAATCCTTGCATAGTACTGTGAATCCAATGAGATAAAATATGGATCAAAAGGATTATTTTTGCTTAATGCTTAATGAAGCATTCCATATTTTGAGTCTCACTGGACTCAGTTTTCAACAGGATCATGTGCCCAACAGCTGGAATTTGGAAATTCAGCCGCATCTATATAATCAACCAACTCTGATTAAACTGAAAGAAGACTCTTGGTGAAGGCCTGCTACATTTATGATTTAAAATTTGGGGACTAGGGTATAGCTCAATAGCAGAACTCTTGCCTAGCACGCACTAGGCACTGAATTCAATCCTCAGCACTGCCAAGAAAAATGTCCTTATAAAGGGGTAGATAGAGAGGAACAGAGAATCTGAGTGGGTTCCTCCCTGTGAAATTAGCTCAGTGCATGAATCAAGGCGGTCAGTTGCATCTGATAGTGCACTTTAGTAATCGGAACCATCTGCCTCTGTACTAAGGCATTCCTGGTCTAATCCAGCTTACGGCCGACAACCCACTCTTCCTATCATCATGCCCTTGAATAGAGGAGGCTGTGCAAAATCCCTTGCTGCTACATGTGCTGCTGTCACTGAGGATATTTGGAGGTTTTGTCTTGGCTTTGTTTGACCTGAGGTGTATTTTGTTTTCAGGTTTTATCTGAGTTGTAGTTGTAGTCTTTCAGGGCAGAGACAATGGCTTTCTTTGTAAAAAATATGATAAGCAACCAGGTAAAGAATTTAGGATTTGGAGGTGGGGCAGAAGAAAAGAAAGAAGAAGGAGGCACATCCGACCCAGCAGCAGCTCAAGGGATGACTAGAGAGGAGTATGAGGAATACCAAAAGCAAATGATTGAGGAGAAGTGAGTACCGCAACGCCGTTTCCCTTGGAAAGCAAGGGAAATCTGTTCTGGACATACCTCCCTCAGCGCCCCAGCTTGTCTCCCTGTGCTTTTTGGGTTACTTTCCCTCTGACTGTGTATCTCTAACCTGATGAAATTTTATTTGGGTAAAGTGAATGATTCTGTAGCATCTGTGATGCCTATGGGCTATTTGTATGAATGGAAGTAAAGCATACAAATTAATCTATACGTCTTTCCTAAAGCAGTTTAACATTTCCTGGCCAAGGCGTGTTTTAATTGGCCTCAATGTAATTGTTCAACAAACTATGGTGAGTCTAGCTATCTTTGTAATCTTTCTTAAATTCACCTTCCTACCGAGTAGGAAGGCTTCAAATTGTGAGAATTCAAACTTTCTACCTAAAAGAGAGCCTAAAAGCATACAGTGCAAACTCCTTGATCTTGCATTTAAAAAAGTAAAAAACACAACAGGACAGTTTTGTCACAGATGTAGTTATTAGACTATGAAAACTTTGTGGATTGTTTATTACAAAATGTTAGCACACAGAAAAATAGAATAGCATGATGTATGACCAAAATACTGATGACATAAAGTCAACAGTAAACACCATGCCATAAGTGCATTTTAGAAGTCAATTATAGTTATCATGATACTCCCCCCTAAATACTTTAGCCCTCATACCTCTAAAACTAAGGGCATTCTCCTGGCTATATAAAATGTAATAAAAGTAAGATACAACTATTGTAACATTTTGGTTGAGTATGATGGACTATGAATATCACCAATAATAATATGTCACTATTCAAAGACTGTTAATAAGGTAACTTTAAAAGCTTTAAATAGAACTCTTTATTTAATAATCAACTGAGAATTGAAGTGTCAGTGTACCCTTTAAATGTTCATCATATGTTACAAAAGAAAAGTATGGCTATTTTGCGAAGGAACTATTATATAATAGTTGCCTAAGTCTTATCGCTAAGATGATTATAGGTGGAAAGGTTAATGACCTGGAGGAACTAAGAAAGTAGAAAACCTACATTTAGTGGAAACCGTGTCTATTTTATTTTTCTGGAAGAAATCATGGCTTCCAAACTACCTAGAATGCATTTTGCTTGGTCCCACAGTAATTAGTTTAAAAAAAGAAAGAAACAAAGAAAATGTAAGTGGACTGATGTTAGTGTTAAGATAAAATTTGGACAAAAGAAGCAACATTCTTTGCGTATTGGTCTGCTTTGCCTATAGCATCTAAAAGAAAAAGCTATAAAAGAAAAACAAGTATAATGAAGAAAAGTAAAACAATAGCATCATAAACTTTTAGTTCAAATAAGCTAATGAAAATGGTCAGAAATTCAGATTGTATGCATGATCATGCTAAATATAATTTAATATGCCCACACAGTAAGCCACAGATATGGCATTTGTTTAATGTCTTAGCTTTCCCTAATTTTGTATATGGACAGATCAAAGGTCAAAATGGCCAAATCGAATGGTTGATCAGTAGACTGGGTTGTTTGCAAACTGTCAGGCATTTTCTATGTGTGCATGAGAATATTATAAATTTATTTAGTCTCTTAATTTAAGAAACAGTGGTAAGACAGTGTGGCACCTTCCTCTCCAACGCAAAAGGGAGGACTTCTCATCCCTGACTCGAGTGTTCAGGATCTTCCATTACCTAGAATGCGATGTGAAGAAGTAGGGATCCAGAATGCCTGCCAGTCACAGGTGCAGAGAGAGCTACACAGATAGTGCAGTATAGATAATAACTAAAACAGATATTAGCAGATAAAAGCCTCTAGATCTGTCCTTGTGATTTTTAGAAAAGTAATAGGCTTGGCTCTACTAATTGTAAATGAAAAAAAATCTACCTAACAATGCCCTCTACTGTACATTCATGTTTATTTTCCTTTTATGATTAGAGTTTTTTTCTCACTACTGATAGCACTGGTGCCAAAAGAGGCCATACCTAAAAAGAAGGTTTACGAAAGAAATTCTTGGACAGAAAGTAAAACAATAGCCTGCTAACTCTTCTTTCTGACATGGTTATATGGACGTGCTCTTTTAGTGACGGTTCAACTATTACTACAGTACTGTTTGCAACTTGACTCTGAATTTGTTTTATTCAGTCATGTTTTGGACCTTCTCACTATGGGAATGGATCTGTGAGGAATGTACTAAAGTAGACGCCATCGGGTTTTTTTGCACAAGTATATACTGTACTTGAGTAGAAACTAGCTCCACATTAAACAGCACAACCAGCTTTTCTGAATAATTTCTAAACTAGCTCTGGATGATGGAATCTATGTGGCACTAGGATTGACAATGAATTTACAGTTATTTGAGTTTCAACAAAGGTCCCAAAATACAAGTAGGGAATGAAAAGTTGGTTCAACAAATGGACCTGAAATAACTGAAAAATACTCAACTTTCACCTCTACTGTACACTACACTCAATACTTAATTTGATATGCATCATACACCTAAATGTAAAAGCTGAGACTATACAGATTCTAGAACAAACAGGAGAATATTTTTGCAACTAGTAAGTGAAGGTTTATTGTGACTCGGGAAGTAATAATCATAAAGTTCACTTTGATAAGTTAAACTCTATCAAAATTAAAATTTTTTTGCATCAAAGACATTGAGTAAATAAGTAGGCAAGACAGACTGAGAGAAAATATTCACAAAACATGTATCTGTTAAAGGTTTGAGATCTAGGACATATAAAGAACTACAACTCAATAATAAAAGCAAAAAATAAGCAAAATCATCAAACAAAATTTCACAAGTATATTCACATAGCCAATTAGTTCATGCAAAAAAAAAGAACTTCATTAATATCATTAGTCTGCACAGAAATGCAAAAAACTTTAAAACACAGTAAGGTACCAACACACACATCAGGCTAAAATTAAACAGACACAAAGTATCAAAGGTTGGCTAAAATGTGGAACCACTAGAACTCTTGTCCCCTACAGAGAGGTAAGATAGCACAATCACTTTGGGAAAAGGTCCAATGATTCCTTAAAAGACTAAACATACTCAATTAAATTACCCGACAACCCAACAAATCTCATGCCTAGATATTTACATGGAAGAAATGAAAATACACGTCCATAAAAAGATTGTTCCAGAATGTTCACAGCAACTTCACTTGCCATCACTAAAAATATTCAGTAACTCGGGCGTAGCTCAACAGGAGAATGAGTAAGTGATAATAGATTTGTACATAAAATACTACTCAGGAAAAAAGGAAACACTAGTGATAAATAAAACATATATGAACCTGAAAGTTTTCTATGCTGAGTTTTAGAGCCTTACAGAAGAGAATATAATGTATGTGATTCCATTTACATGATGTTCTAGAATGGGCAAAAACTAGTGTCTAGAGAAGAAAGGATGGTAGTTGCCCTACAACTGGAGCAGGGTTTGATTAGGAATGGGGATGAGGGAATTTTATCAGGTGGGAATAATGGTTCATATCTTTATAGGATTTTAGGTTACATAAGAGTTGCCATTGTAGAGCACTGTATGCAAATTTTGCCTCAAAAGGAAAGAGGAACCAGAAATAATGATTTGCGTACAGACATGTTTAGGGAAAGTGTACTGATTTCTACAGCTTTAAATACATCAAAATTAAGTTGGATAGTGTCCACTTTTGGCAGCACATATAACTAAAATCGGAACAATGCAGAGGTTAGCATGGTCTCTCCGCAAGAATGATATACAAATTCGTGAAGTGTTTCATATGTTTAATAAAAGAAAAATAATAGGAAACGAGGATGCAGACTTTGTGGAGATGGGAAAAGACACTGGGGATGGGAGGAGAGGCCACAGCAGAGAGGACAAGGGGAAGTAAAAATGATTAAGATGTAATATGTATATGACCAGTTCCCTAAGATTGTTTTTTGTTTGTTTGTTTTTGTTTTTTCTCCGGTACCGGGAACCAAACTCACGACCTTGCGCTTGCCAGGCAAGCGCTTTTGCCGCTGAGCTAAATCCCCAGCCCCCAGTTCCCTAAGATGAATGTAATTGGTATGTATTGCAAGTGTATACCAATAAATTTTATAAGAGATAAATGAATGGAGGGTAGATAAGTGATAAAAATATATACTGAGAAGCAAATTGAAGAATCTGGGTGATGGGACTTAGACTGTAAAATTCTCTCAACTTTTTTATATGTTTGAAAGTTTTTCTAATAGCATAAGGGTGTGGGGAAGGATCTGCTTCTTACTTATACCACAGGTCACTAATCTCTTGAACAAGTCATGTTATCCTATTTTCCTCTCAAAACTAGAAGGCTGAGAGCCCAGACCAGATACTGTGCAGATGGAATTGAATTCAGAGAGCACCCAAAGCCAGGATCCAGTAGTTCGAGCCGATGGTTTCTCTGCAGTCAGCGTTCTGTGTAATTGTTAAGATTATTTTAAAACCTGGAATCAGGAAATAACCAATTTTGATAAAGAAAATGGGATTTGCTTTAATGTAAATAATACTTTACCCAAATATGCTTTACCCAACCCATGAACAGAAATCCCTCCAGGCCTCACTTAGACCCACGCTGGGAGCCAGAAGGCTGCCGAGAACCACCGCTCACTCTCCCATCTCTCTCCATTGCTTCTAATCTGCTTAGCAGCGACTTTGTTCTTTTCTCAGCAGCCAGCTCTCCTTTCTGCACTCTGTTACCCTGACCACCTGGCCGGTGGAAAATAGCAGCCAAGGCTTTCAAGTTCACCTCTTACAGCTCCAGCCACCCTTCAAGTCTGTCTGTCTCAGTCTCAGTCCCAAATTCCAAAGCAGATTTAATTGCCCCAACTTGGTCCAACCCAATACAGCTAGAGAGCAAAGCCAAGTGCACAACTGTAGCTACCAATAGTGCACTTCTGTGGGCATCTGGGCGCGGAGGCAGTTTTTTAAGCTTTGCGCGCATCCCCAGAGATGTGCGCGTTTGTTTGGATCACCATGAGCAAGGGAGTGTGTTTCTACCTAGAACAGTCATGAGTCCAATTAGGTCATCCACAGAGTAGTACCCCAGAATGCAGTAGGGGAGAGAATCTTCTCTACCTTGTTTCTGGATACCTTCCTGTAACTGGGAATGGAATCCTATCTAAACTGGGGCCTGGAGTTGGTGGCAGTGAAGGGGAACAGCTTTTTAAAAAACAGTATTGTCACCCCCTTTTAATTAGTGCATAGTGATTATAACAGAGTAATGGGTTTCCCTATGGTATTCTCATAAATGTATATAATAAACCTTCATCATACCAAAGGGAAACAACTTTATAGTAAATCCCCACATACCATGGGCCTCCAAAGGATGCCCGACTGCTGGATACGATAGATAACACTGCTTTTGCTTCACTAAGAATTATTTAGGGTTTTTTTGTTTTTTTTAGAAATGTAGCTTCCTCTCCCCCATCCCAGAGGTTCTGGCCCAGCAGAACTGATATGAGGCCAAGAAGCTGTCTTTGCCACAAACAGTTCTGAGGCTACTGGTTTTATACCACATAGTCCATGGGTAGCTCTGTCAGGAGTCATAACCCTGGCTCTCCATTACATCACAAAGAGATGCCCAGTCCCACGTTGTCTTTCGGGTTCAGGTATGTATTAAATGATGAGTAATTAAAGAGCAGACATTTAGGACATCATGAGAAAATTCCACATTTCCCAGGTGTCTGCAGGCAACAGGAGCTGAGGTGTGTCCCAGGACCCTGCTTCTCTGAACAGTGGCTGGAATGTCCTCAGTCTCCATGTCCTTATGATCTTTTATTTTATTGTTTAAATTTTAGGATGGAAAGAGATGCTGCATTCACACAAAAAAAGGCAGAGAGGGCATGCCTCAGAGTCCACCTCAGGGAAAAGTACAGGCTCCCCAAGGTAAGATATTCTGAGCATAGATATGCCTCAGCATTTCCTAATTAACAAAAAATGGGGGATGTTTGCATATCAGCAAAGGCTTATGCATGTGAATATGTATACGTCATAATTTACATATTTGCTATGGTGAAAAGAGCATTGAGCTGGGAGTTCATAAAAGCTAGACTCCAATTATTCAACCTCTATAAATGTCCATTTCTATTGAAGAAATGAAGTCAATATCTATGGATGACATTTTTATGTAAATACATCGAAAGAATACAAACATTCTATACATAACACAACGGGGATAATCATGACAGCTGACGTTTGTTGAGCTCTTCTTGGTGCCCCATACTGCACTTTGCATATATTCATTTAGGTTCTGTTACCACCTTTATGTTATTGCAGAGGAAACAAAGCTAAGTAAATACCTTCATGCCATAAGCCACACAGCCAAAGAGGCAGAGCCCGGGGTTTTAACTCTCATGATATTGTCTCTATTTAAAAGGGACAATCAATTGCTTATTTGGGGAGATGACGTAGCAGTGATGACTGTCACGCAGCATTATCACATCCAGGTCAGTGCTGGCGTGCAGGATGCCCATCTATGGACTGTGGCCTGTAGCTAGGCTCCTGCTGGGAAGATGCGTGGACTTGGTTCTGATACTCTTCAAGGTCTCATGTCCAGCACAATGATGCACAGCGCTCAGCTACTCTGGCTCATTTCTTCTGCTCTCACTCCCACTCATCACCTAGGAAACCACCCAGCTCCTCTAAAGGGTACCGCCTTCACGTCCCTGTTCAACTTCAATTCACGTCCCTCCTTTAGAGAGCACCTTCCTCTGCATAAGCCAAAGAAAAAGATTCCTCCCAAGTGCAGCATCCTCTCCCAACAATAAGAGCCGCTTTCAAGTCTAGGTGGTTTAGAAAGTGTCACTAAATCATTTCCTTCACTGGGACCCCCGTGGATCCTTGGGAAAGCTACCTTTGGAAGCAACAAGCACTGAACAAAAGGAGAGCCCACTATCTGCCCTTGAGAGGTCACTGCTGAAATCAGTAGAGTTAAAGCTCCCCATCCGGTGGGAGAGGTTGATTCCTGAGACAACCATGGAACACAGAGCTCTCGGTGAGAAGAGGGAAAACTTACGATAACATGTAAAAATCATGTGAAACCAATGAAATGAACTGGGAAGAATTCCTTGCCTCCCTTGCCCCTCCCCCACCGCTGACCTTCATCACTTTTGTCCACAGTGCTTGCATTCTGCCAGAAGGAAGCGCTTCATTCTAGTTGTGTAGCGCATCTCCCGAAACTCCGGGATGAGTTACTGCCTGGCTGGCAATGTGGCTTGCTTTAGGCAGGAATCCTGAGTTAGATTCCCCGGCCTCCCCACTTGGAACTATCTGATTTAAACACCACAAATCTTATTAGGATGAAGCAGAAATCAAACACAGACACACACACACACAACTGGGCATGCATCTTCCACAAAAGTTGGACTGATTGAGGCTTTTCTTGGCTTTTCTCTGTTACCTATCTGTGAGGATCTAAGGAGAACTGGATTTCAATTCTGGTTCTGCCACCGTAACACAGCACAACTTCCACTGACTTTTAAAAAACCATCAGATGGGCTCAGTTTCCTCGTCTACAAAATGAGGACAGTAATACCTAACCTCACAGGGTAAAGCTTCATCTGAAATGACATAAAGGACCTCACGCAACGCCTGACAAGGGGTAGGTGCTCAATGGAGGATAGCTCTGATGTTGCCATTCTGATCTTATTTCTCGATAGTAATAATGAAGGGTAATAAGCACTGGGCGAGCACGCTAGTGTGTGTGATCAAGGCAACAACTGGAGGTTCCTGAGACTCAAGAATCTGAGCTTTGATTTTTTTCTTCCCTCATGGTAAGCCGATGGTGTTTCTCACAAGGGTGAACATCTTTGGGCTTAGCAGCAAAGTTCAGAAGTTCCCCAGAAAGACAGAGAGAGAGAGAGAGAGAGAGAGAGAGAGAGAGAGAGAGAAATCCCCAAATCTCTGTATCAAGCCACCATTTGGGACAAGAGCCTTTCCAGAAGAAATTATGAAAAGAGGAAAGAATTATAGCCATGACCTGTGAAAATTCAGGTGCTCCCTGAAGAATGCTGGTGACTGTATCTGGTTGGTTACTGCTCCCCAAAGCCAGCTGGAGGAGGAGGATGAAGGAAGTAGGTAAATTAACGTGGAGCCCAGTAGCTGTCTGTGCATGACTTACCCTTGCTTGTATGCCCTTCTTCTGTAGCTGCTTTAAATGCATAATGCATGTGGGACCTCATCTGATTGTTTTCATGGACCTGGAGGAGACCCTGTAGCTCACCTAATAGTCTATTGCCACAGCCTCATTTCAGTCCCAAAGAAACTGCAGCCTGGGAGGGCTGAGTAGTACTAGAATCCACAGCTAGTAAGCCACAAAACAAGGACTGGAACTCAGGTCTCCCAGCCAAGAAAAAAGAACAAACAAAAGGATTTGAACATCACTCCCTCTGTGGCCAACACGTCTTCTCTTTCTACTTTTAGTTTTCAAATGTTGGCGGGCCGTCTTGAACTCCACCTGGCTTAAAACTGCACTAGTACGCATTTGGGACAACCCGTACCGCCTGTTTCAGTGAGGTGTCACCAAGTCCCACCCGCAGCAGCCGGGGAGCATTCGTTTCCTTATCAGGTTGTTTGCCAGGGGACCCTGTGTGACAGCCTAAATCCTGAATACAATTCAAACACAGACATGAGAATGTCACTTGAAAGCAGTCCGTACACCTCATCATTCACTCACTGCAGAGTTACTTTCAGATAGGGGCCTCCCTTGGGCATTTTAATATTATGACTGCATTTTTATTTTTGGTGGTTTGTTGTCTTGGTTTTGGTTTTGGTTTTGCTTTTGGGTCTTGCTAAGCATTTCAGGCTGGCCTTGAACTCACTATGTAGCCCAGATTGGCTTTTAACTCCAGGTGATCCTCCTGCCCCCGGCCTCCCCAGTGCTGGGATGACAGGAGTGTGCCACCTCGCCTAGTTTATGATTGCATTTGGTAAAAATTGATTCTACACACTTCAAGAATTTCTCCATGGTATGAAAAGTACTAAAATGCTGACAATAGCTTGCTTTTTGTAAAACATGTGGTATTTCTAGTCACCTGTAAAAACAGTACTTAATAGAAGATACACAAAGGCGGGGAGGGGCATCAGACAACCAGATTATATTCCACTTAGTCCATTATCAGCGGCTGTGGCTAACTTCCCAGCTTGCAGTGCAGCCCCGCCCTTGGGAGCCTCCTTTGCTTCTGGCTGTCACCTGTCACGCCCCCTCATCACCACCACCGCACCCCCACCCACCCGCCCACCGACGAGGCTCTGGGCACAGCAGGCCTTTGATAGCCCACATAGGGAGAAAGAGCTCTGGGGGAAACAAACTTCCCAGGCTGAGATCAACTCCCGGGTGGTGGTTTCCTCTACAGAACGGGAACAGCTGCTCGGGTCAGCCGGATCCTGGGTTGACCTTGGAAGGCCGAGCACACCAGGACCTAATCCCCGACGCCCCCTGGTGGTTCCCGGAGCCGCGACAGGTCCTGGTGGTAGCAAGACTAGGGTGAGCCAGAAATAAATCTCTATAGATGCGTTTGTTTTTTGGATTTTTTTTTTTCTTTTTTAGTGTCCATCCTTTTGCTACTCAGGACTGGACTGGATTTTAGATGCTCCCATGGTATACTGGGAGAGAGAGCTAGCAAACCATAGAGTGTTACCATTCGCCCAGAAACTAGGACAATGAGATTCTGATATGCCAATAATTGCAGAGGAGGTGACGGGATTGGAATATTGAGCCCTGAGAGAAGATAGCTGGTGAAGTGAAGGCCATGGGCATAATCACCTCCCAGGTCGTGAAGACCAGGCCTCACTTAAACGCCGACTCCAGGGTGGTGAGCCTCTGGGGGCTCTGCAGGGCACGTAGGGTTTCTACAGGAGCCCTTCCCAGTGCAGTCTTTAGGATAACTGCAGAAAACCACAGTGGGAATCAGCTAGGCACTTGTAGATGCTGCATAAGGAGCCAGAGGCTCTGGGCTGCCAGAAGATGCCCTAGGGCTGGGGTGGAGAAAGCTGCTGTAGACTCCTACGAGCCTAAGCAAGTGGAGAGAAACGGTTGAGAGTGGCGGGCACACAGCAGCCCGGGTGTTCTGGGAGGTCTGGACCAGGTAGGAGGTACTAGACTGGGAGCGGAGCCGCAGACCTGAGTCGCTACCTAGATCCCCTCTGGGGTCACGTCAGGAACATGTTAGTCATCTCTTGCCCCCAGCTCTCTAAATTCTCTTACTAGAACCAATTCGGGTTCCTGGATAACCACAATGCTTAGTCTTCTTGACACCAGCATCTGAATGGTATTTCTTTCCATTAAACTTACTTTTTTTTATCTTCAGAAAAGCATATACCGTAGGTGCACACTCAATGCGTAACCCCCCAAATTATACAAATTTAGGGATTTGCTGAAGATCCCAAAGTTTACTGTGTAAACAGGGACTAGGGCCTCCTTTTTCTCATCTATTAATGTTTCAAACCCATTCCCCTCAAACCCCCTCAAGTTGGTACACTTTAGAGCCTATGACATTGTCCAACAAAGAAAATGATGCTAAGCAAAGAGCTACTGTCACCAGGACTTCAGTGGGCATCTAATGACCTTTTCTTCCCTGCAAGATTTGCAGATATGTATCCTTGTGCCATCCTATATAATCCATGTTGGGTAAGCAATCATAGTAGTAATATTTACAGTCCTCAGGGAACTGGATGAATTCAGCGCGTCTTCTGGTTAACAAGTGATGACTCCCAGGTACCTCATTCACAGTTCCCTGGGGTCACCATCACAGTGGTTTGCACAACAGCAGGAATCAGTTCTGGATCCTTCCCCATACCAAGGCCCAACAGGGAGCAGATTTGAGAAAAATGTCGTCCCGGGAGCTGTCAGGTCTAATGAGGATAACTACGTCACATTTTGGAATAGG